GGTAAAAAGGTGTTGGAGGAGTAATTGATTCGAGTTAATGGGTTTCCAATCCACCTTAACTGCTGCCTTGCGGTTAGGTTCTTGTCAAAACTCAAGGCTTTGGTTGAGAGCCCTAATCGTTCTCCTGCTTAACGGTTCGACTCCCCGGCTGTACCCGTTCATCAAGCTCCAAACACAAACAAAACTATTTCATACTGCATCGGTCGTCGCGCAGGATAATCAGGACTGCGCTGCCCATTGCATCGAGCACGGTGGGTAGTGATAAGTGAGCTACTGCTCAGATATCCCAACCTTTGTTTAACTCTTTGTCTTCCGTACACAACCCTCTCCGTTTACCCCTTCTTCCGACCCGTGGTATCCCCTCAGACAACTTGGTCGTCACTCGCCAAAGGTCTTTGCCAAACAGCACTGTAACTAGTTTTCCTGTAAATAAAGTGCAGATTCTGAAGCCTCGTCAACCTCTCAATCTGGGGCTTTCAACGTGAGGACTCTTATACAGGTGGGTCAACAGGCCTGTCTTTGCGCGTACAATGCAGTCTCTAAAAATGGATGTCTGTTGCGGAGTAGATTAACAGCGGAGTGAGATTAGATTTGCGATGCACTCCACAGCAAACTTTGCTTGTGGGGCTGAACCCGAAGCTCGCCGAAGGCATTGAATCTCTCAGGAGTCAGTAATACTGATGAATCAAAAGCGAAAGATTCCTATCTGTCAGGATCAACATAACGACCGGTGTCGCTTGCAAAGTCAAATCAGAAATAACCTTGAGAAAGATGGTGAAAATTGGTGGGCCAAAATAGCTAGTGAAATGGAGGTAGTTTCTGTATCGGGGAATAGTCAAAGACTGTCTCACCTGATTCGCAGTACCGGAGGTCGTCGCATACCGGTCAGTGAGACCATTTGCGATAAAAGTGGACAAAGTATCCACAATAAAGAAGAACGACTGGATCAGCGGGCAGAGTATTTTAGTGAAGAGTTCAGTTGGCCTAGTGCTAATGCGGTCATTGCAGCAATTGCAGCGGAAACCCCATTGGGGGTAACATATGAGCCCCCATCAGAACTGGAAGTACTAAGCTACATTCAATCATTAAAGCGAGGGAAGGTAGCGGGACCTGATGCGCTTCTCCCTATTCTTTTTGAGGTGGGCGAGGATTCTCTTGTCGACTCGATTGCTAGGTTACTTCGCAGCATTTGGGCGGAGGAGCGTATCCTCTGTTATAGGGTGAATCGTTGATCGTCGCGATCTTCGAGAAGGGCTCCCGCGACGACTGCGTTAACCACCACGGGATTAGTTTAGTTCAGATAATCGCAACGGTGCTAACCTCTGTGATATTTTGAATGTATGAAGGATGCGCAAAGCGCTCTTGACAGACTCTTAAGTTCTGTATCTTCCTTCGGTGTGCGCTTTGCATCTGCAAAGTGTAATATGTTGCTCCAAGATTTGGTTGGTCCAGCACCCAGTCTCACCTTGACTGGGGAAGTAATAGAGGAAGTAGTCAAATTTTGGGCGGCTATATCTCACCTGGCGGACGCGTCACAGATGAAGTATCGGCGCGTATGCAAAAGGCTCGGTTGGCATTTGCCAATTTGAGACATTTGTGGCGCTGTCACGACATCCGGCTCTGTGAAGGGTCGAGTATATACTGCAGCAGTTCGGCCAGTCCTGATCTACGGTGCAGAGACCTGGCCACCACAGGAACAGGATAAAAATAGATTGTCGGTTTTCGAACACAGCTGTCTACGTCGCATTGTACGAGTCTGGTGGGGTAGCCGGACTAACAATTCTGAGGTTAGGCGTAGAGTTTTAGGCATTTGCGGTCGTCCACTGGGGCAAGTGATCGACCTCCATAGATTACGTTGGTTGGGGCATGTTTTGCGTATGTCACCAATTAGGTTACCAGGGCGAGTGATGTTTGCCGATGCAGGTAGCGGTTGGAAAAGGGTCAAGGGTGGTCAAACGAAGACCTGGTATAAGGGTATGAAAATCCCAACCAGGAGACAAGGTCACATAGACTCCCTGATTGGGATGATGGTCAGGATGATGGTCACCGATTGTTCGAGACACTGAGTTATATGGCTGGATGTCGCAATCAGTGGTTGTCGTGCATCCACTCATTACTCCCCTAACACCATTCTATATGAATTCTCTATCTTCCGCGTGAATTTACTTTCAACATTCTAGTCTTCTTTCCGCTCTTTTATCCAAATGGGCAACCAAAAGACAGCAACCAAAGCCGGCGCACGAAAGTGCATGGTTAATGGTTGTAAAAACTGAAACTGAACTGCATCCCACTGCTGATGCTTGATGATCAAGAATTAGTTGTAGTGGAATATTTCTCTCACTTAGGTAGCTGCGTGACGGCTGACGGTAGCATAATCAATGAAGTAACCACGCGCATTTCCAAGACTCGAGCAGCTTACGCAAGACTGAAACACCTTTTTGCCGGCACGATGTTTTGTTGAAGCTGAAAGGTCGCGTATGCTGCCCTAGCGTGCGGTTAGTTCTGCTTTGTGGTTGCGAGACCCTAAATTTGCGCCCAGAAGTCTTCGACTGCCGATGTTTGCGTAGTTTAGCGCTGGTTGGATGGAGCGAGCGTGTAGGCAACTTTGAGGTGAGGCGTCACGTATTTGGTAATGTATCGATAAAGAGAATTTGTTGTCCCATCGAATTCAGATTAGTCTGCTTCGCTGATTAGGACACGTATTGCGCATGTCCAGCCATCGTCTACCGCACCGCGCCTTACTCGCAGTTGCGGCTCCAGGTCGAAAGAAACCACGTGGAGGTTAACAGATGACGTGGAAACGAGGCGTGAGGAAATGCACAGAGCGATTAGGTAGAATCAGTGTCTCCCGTCTTTCAGGTTGGGGTCCGAAAGACTCCGCAACTGGCTGGCTGGAGACATTGTAGTAAATGGCGACTAACCGACAGTCGTGGCGTTTTTGTTGTCATTTCTTGTCAGGTTAGAATGCTTGAAAAGGTATATATGCACACTTAGATTGTGTACTCTGTGTGTTGAACATAGAGGTTCTTTTTCTTTGCCTCCCTCCAAGTAGGCCCAATCCCTCTCTATCTTGTGTACATTGTGAGCTTGGCAACGATCAGTGAAGTTGGTTTCACTGTATCTCGCTGTACGATGATGATGATATGGAGGATTATTTTGATCAATCGGTGTAGATACGCCTAGGACACACGTTTCCTAGTAGTCGATCCGTACACTTGACGAACTGGAAAGGTGTTTGAAATGTGGAACGTCTTCGACCGCCTGACTATTGCTTACATAAGTAAGTAGGATATCTCTGTAAGGTTCTGTGGACGGTGCTCAGTAAGGGAAATTTCTAGAGGACCGCGGGACATCGAATTCCGTTGATCGAATCTTCTACCCGTGAGTAGACTGTTTTGGAGGATTTTGAATTGAGACGAATGTGATAAACCACGCGAGTTCATTCTCATTTCACTCATCTATTTCCTGTCGGAACCTATTTTACGTAGGTTCGAACTGCGCGTTGTTGTTCCCAAGGACCTGTTTGGTGCATACTCCGGACAAGATGTCATTCATATGTCCGGGTTCATTTGATCACTGTAAATATTTTCTGCCGGCCGTTAATCCATGAAGTTCAACGCTTTATGACAGAAACTGAATATCAGCCGAAATTAGCATATAATGCTTGGGACATCTCCTTTTTCCTAATGTTGACGGAGGAGCTTGTGGCACTTTTTCTGTGGTACAAATTACCTTGCCAACGTTCTCCTCATTGTAGTTTTTAGCACCCACTGACATTCATCAGTTCTTAACCTTTTGTTTCTTGTAATAGACTTGTGTGGGCTGAGTACTTTCAATCGGTCGGAATTCACGCCATCTTTTGGTCAGCTACAATGGCCTCAGAGCATATGAAGAGTTCGAAGAATGATCATTCCGACGAGATGACGACTAATGAGCATCTTGAAACTGTAAAGGAATCAATCCAAGAAGATGAATCATACGAAGAAACTTACGATTCATATGAAAATGACCACATTGCTGCTGATGGTGATGACGATGCAGAAGAGAAGGAGGAGGACGACGATGACGAGGAAGGCAGTGAAGAAGATTCAAGTGAATGCTGTCACTCCGTGGATAGCGACGAAGGGTCCAGCACTGAAGTGGACTATTCCACTGCACATGAAACTGACAGTGCAGATGAAGAGCCGGTAGTGAAGAATAACGATCCATCTACGAACGAGCAGCCATCCGCCATCACCACAGAACCTGCTTCAACGGACAACCACCGATCCCAAATAGAGAACACCTCGAAACCAGATGAGGAAACCACATCATATGATGGGTAAGAAAATTATGATTGTATTTTCCTCGAGTGCTAGACCACCGAATACCGTTCAATAGCGAACTGAATCTTTCTGCAACACATGTTTGTGTCAAAAACAGTGGGGCAAAAGAATTAGGACCTGTTCACCTCTTGAAATCGTTGGCCTAAGCCCTAGGACTATGTGTGGCGAACCACGTGAAGTCCTTTTAAGATAAGTGTACTATATACTATTCGAACTGAGTGTTGACCGGTGGCTGTTCTGCCGTACTTGTTTTTAATGGTCCACAAATGGAGTGGAGACGCGGGCCTCTACTATCGTTTTCATAATCGACTAAGTGCTCTTACTAAGCGTAACATTTTGGGCTTCAGCGAATAAAGCTCCACCTAAAAGTGCGGCTCAATCGCGTATCTCACGACTCGCATTTGCCTACTCTTGGGTGACAATACTAATACCCTCGTCATAGTTATCGCGGTCATTAACTTGTATACACTCCTTTCCTAGGAGCGCTATCAATTCGACTCGGATTGTGACCGCCGAGGAATTGCTGGATTTGTTTACGACCGAGCTCTATCCACCCAATGTGCCTCGACTTCGACCACCCCAACTCACGGTCGGTTTCATTGGTTATCCGAATGTGGGAAAATCTAGCACGTTAAATGCGCTGATCGGTAGC